AAAAAATTCCGTTTAGTTTCAATCCAAAGTTGGGTTTTTTTTTTTTTAAAAAAAAAAAAAATGGACCTCGCTGGTTCAGAAGGGGGGAAGGAAGCCCTCACCATCTCCCACATTCGTTTTCCTCCCCAAAATATCTGTTATTCCACAGTACAACCTGGTGGTCGTTGGTACTTGGCCCCCCCCAAAAAATTATCAACGTTCATCCATCCATCCATCCATCCCCCCAATTCTCATTCCGCTAGAAGAAAAAAAAAGAAAGAAAAGTCTAAGCATTGCCGGGCTGGTCCTGGAAAGGGTTGGGACTAGCAGCTTCCTGCGTCTGTTGCATCAGGGGCGCACGAGCCTCCTGCGAGCGCTGCTTCTTGGTGGCGGCGCGGGCGAGGGCAACGGCCTCTGCCTTGGCGGCGACGCGCTTGTGGTGCTTGCGCTCGCGGCAGCAGGCAAAGGTCAGGTAGCCGAGGCCGATGGCGAAGAAGGCGGCGAAGACGATGGCGATGATGATGCCTCCCGTGTCGATGGGCTGCGTCTTCATGCATATGTCCTGGTGGGCGTTGTCGACGGTGCAGATCCAGCCCGAGAGGCATTCGCTCGACGTGCCCTTGGAGGGCGTGCAGGTGCGCGTCACGGCCTTGCCGTTCTCCGTGGCCACGTCGCAGCTCGACGTGGGGAACTCGCTGACGCTGAAGCAGTCGGCGCCCTTCCTGACGGGGGCTGGCGTCGTCGTCGCCCGCGCGAGGAGGTGAGCGGCGGCGGCGGCGACGGCCTGCGTGGCCTGGACGGGCTCCAGGGCGGCGCGGAAGCGTTTTCGCAGCTCGCTGCCGCCGCCGCTGCTGTATTCCTGGCACCGCGTCGTGATGTACTGGGCGTCGAGGGCCGCCTGACTAGCCGAGCAGCCGGCGTTGGTGTAGCATGGCTCGAGGTCGCTTGGCTCGAAGCTGGACAGCGAGGCGAGGCATTGGCTTACGGCGGCCCGGTTGCCGCAGTCGGTGTACTCGGCGAGGTCTTTGCTGTGGACGCGGAAGCACTCGTTTCGGGGGAGGGCTGCTGCGGTACTGGCGAGCAGCAGCGCGGCCAGGGAGAAGGACCGCATCGTATGCAGAGTGGTGATATTTTTTGGGGAGGTGGTTTGGATCAGGGGTCTGGGATCTTCACTCGGGCGGCAAAAACTGGACCCCGTAGAGAAGAAGCAGCTAAAGTATAGGTGCGGCGCCCGGCAGGGACGGGTGCGAGGCAAAGGATTAGACAGGACGGGGAGGAAGACGCTTTTTGTCAGGGAGACATGGGCGAGATGGATTGTCGGCTCTTTTGCTTGGAGGTGTTTGGAAAATGAGGGAAAGGCAGCCAACAGAGGAATGAGGCTCTCGTTGGGAAGCGAAAAAGGGAGCGCGGCTCGGACCCAGTAGCTGGCGGGATGGGTCGGTCCATCAATTGGACCAAAGTGGTGCCCTCATTTATGAGAACGGTCTGGTCCGGTATGGAGATGGAGGCGCTGTCAGCCCTAGCTCAGTCTGGTCAACTGGTCTGATAATGTGGCTGACGGGCCAGAGCACTCGAGTGCAATTGGGCATTTCAGCAGCACTGAGGGCCTTTGCGTCGATGTTTGGGCTGTGCGGCAGCGGATGGACGACGGGCAACCAGCCTTGTATCACGACGGGGAGCCAAGTTGACTGGCAGCAACTGGCAGCAAGATACCCTGGCCCCCGTTTTGCTGTCGACCGGTCAGTTTCTGGGCTGGCTATATTTAGCACCTCGACCTGCTCCACAGAGCATTACTCCGTAGTTGGTTGTGAATTAATATTTCCACCATGTAATTTCTCTGGTACTTACTGCTAGTTAGTTGCCCTCCTGTCCCTGGGTTCTGGGGTTCCAAAATATCCTGACGTGTTCAGCCGCACTCTATGTATGGGGCCAGACGTCTCATCTTTCAAGGACAGAACAAGTCTTCGCCACCAAGGCGGGCGGGCTGCAGAATCTGGGGTCCGGAGCTATCCGTCCAGGCCCCTTTGTCACACCCAGAATAAGGGGGCGGCGGCGCATGGCCACTCGTCGAGCCATCACTCATGCTGCATCACGGCCAAGGCAAAATGCGTTACGGCTTTTGCCGGCTCTGCAAACATCTTGTCCAGTTATCTTGTTGAATCCTGGCCTTTTTCCCGCCACAATTTGCGGTTGCATTCAACTGGGAAACCTGGCTCTGCTGCCATGGACTCGGTTCCCAGAAGCCTGTGCGTGAAAAAGCGCAGTTGACGTGAACAAAGACGGCCCCTTGCAGACCCTTGACGAAAAAGCACCGTTGACGTCTCTGAAACGGAAGCGATTGGTCTGCTCTGCGGCACCATCCGGTTCTCTCGAATGTGCCATTGATGCGCACCGACGTTAGCCAACGACGTCATCGCCCACGACACCAATTCGTCACCGCGTCCACTCGACTTACCCTACAAAGCAGGTTGAGGTGCCAAGTTTATGTCCAGTTCGTTAACCTTAAATGACGACTAGGTGTATAAATAATTCCCCTTGGTGCTCCGTCCTCCAAGTTCGCACACCTTCATCAACTTGACTACCCGTTCTGGCGAATTTTTTCAGTCAATTCCCCCAAGTCAACCCCGAGTATCTGTCTATCCCGAGACCCATCATCACCATGCCGCTTGTCGTGCCCGGAATCACCAGCCAGCCCGGCAGCAAGACTGAAGAATGGCAAAACAAGCTCGTCGGCAAGAAACTATCCGACACCGAGCACACCGAGACGGTAAGTCAGCCGAGAGGAACAACACGCACCCTGTTTCTGTGCGTCCACGTGCTTACCGTCGCCGCCGCAGCTCTTCTGCAAGAAAGACCTCCCGCAGGAGCACCGTGTCATCGGCCCCGGCGAAGGCGTCACCATGGACTTCAAAGAGAACCGGCTCAACGTCCACCTGGACGATAAGGGTACCGTCTCCCACGTCACCCACGGGTAGTCTCTCGAAGCTGCCTGTGCCTGCTCGGGTTTGATGGCCCCGGGATGTCGAACAAGCGCTTGGATACGTCATGCTGTATTTCACACCTACAAACCAACAAATTAGAGTTTCTTAATAAATCCATCCTTCTTCAACCCTTCACCACACCCATCCGTCCAGCTGCCCTCATTCAATCCTATTGCTCCAAGTAGATGCTCTGCTCGCTACGAGCAACCTTGACTGCCCCCCGGTATTGCATGTCGTGTCTTTACCCCGCCATCCCAGGCCAGCGGGGCACCAACTTTTTGCCTCGTACAGTACGTCGTATGCCACCCCGCCATCCATAACATCCTCCAAGCTCAACGCCGGATTCAAGAAGAGCTCAAGAACAAACCCCCGAGATGTTCAAAAAGGAGTACGCCGTGCCCAGACCACACAAAACCCGGTCCACCAAACTGACAAGCGCAGCATCACCCCCTCGCCCAAGCAGAAGCTCAAGTCGTCGGTGCAGCGGTCCCTCCGCCAGTCGCTGCTCACGACGTACCCCCTGCTGACGCCGCACATTGACGAGATCCTGCCCAAGAAGGCGTCGCTGGCGAGCATGAAGCTGCCCGACCGCAACACGCTGTACGTGCTGGACTCGGAGCCGCTCTTCTACCAGCAGGACAACACGGCCGCCATCATGCCGCACCTGAAGCTCGTGCACCGCTTCCCGCAGGGCTTCCCGACGATCCGCATCGACAGGGGCGCCATCCGCTTCGTGCTCATGGGCGCGACGCTCATGGCCCCCGGGCTGACGTCCAAGGGGGGGAGGCTGCCCGTCGAGGGGGCCGCCGCGCAGCTCGAGGAGGGCAAGGAGATGGACCAGGGGGCCGACGCCGACGGCCGCTGGAGCAGGGAGCTGCACAAGGGCGAGCCCGTCGTCATCATGGCCGAGGGCAAGGAGGCGGCGTGCGCCGTGGGCACGCTCGTCTGCGGAACGGACGAGGTCAAGGCCAAGGGCAAGGGGCCCGTGGTCGAAGACGCGCATTACCTGGGCGACGGGCTGTGGAAGTTGGCTACCGATTGAAACACGCTGGAGTGAGATGCTGCCATGTGCAATGCATGGCCTATCAAGAGAAGGAGAAGAAAAACGACCTTTTCCTTTTACGCTGAGATGCCTGTATATTTATGACCATTGATGACAATGACCTTGGGGGGGTCTAGGTAGGGATACAAAATAGCATTGGCAACATTGAAGCTGACGATGGTATGTGCTTGACTGACGCCCCTTGAATGAGACATGTCTATTTGAATCCTCAACGATCCCGACGGAGAGTGGTCCATCTTGATGCTTTTTGTTCAAGAAAAGACATGTTGTTACGACGAGTGGGTGTAGCAGAAGGAGCGCATTTCGAGGGATGGACTTTGTATGCTGCTCAGGAAAGGCCATGACAACAAGTATTTGGTTCTTGGTCTTGTTCTACGAGAAGAAAAGTGCTACAGCTAGTCAGAACATGGAAATGACGTCCAATACACCAGACATCCATCATCATTTGTATGCGCACTTCCTACTTGCGTAGAGAGGACGTCCATGGCCACACTCTCGAGTCTCGGGCTCTGATACTCCGTGTTCAATCGACCAAAAACAATATTGAACACCAATCCACATTGGCAGAAGAAGACTTGCACGTCAAGACTTGGAACTATGCTTCAAACTAGAGTGCCTTTTTAGCAAAGGTCCACCAAACTCTAATTTCATGTCGACTTGCCGTCCCGCCCCTTCACTTGTAGTATTCACCCACCCACTTCTTCATGGTGATCAAGATGTCGTCGACAATTTTGCGAAGCGCCGGGTTCGCATCGGCATTCCTGGTAAGCAAGTCGCTGCAGTGCACGCCCTTGGGAAGGACCCAGACGGGGGCCTCGGGCGTGAACCTCAAGGGGCCGCCCGGCCGAGCGTCTGCCGACACCGTGGCCGGCCTCCACGGATCGTACTCGCCATTCACCCACATCAGGCGCGTGGTGTTGACGCGGCTCCAGCCGCCCGTCTTCTGGTTCATGTCGTTGACGGTTCGGCCGAGAGCAAGGCCGTACGTGTGGTTGCCTTCCCGCGGGAACATGTTCCTGCACTGCATGCGCCCGTAGCCAAGGCCCAGGTGCTTGGATGCGAGGCCCGTGATGTCGTCGGGCCCCGAGACCTGCCACCACTCGAACCTGGGAGTGCCATTAGCCGGATGGTGCGTTTTTGCCGTCCGCACGGGTCGTACTTACGGCTCGTTGCACAGCAGCCAGTACCACTGTCTGTTGACCGTGTTGCTTACAGAGAGATCCTTGTACATGGGGTTGTCCTTGTTGTTCATGTCCATACACGCTACCGTGTTGTTGTCTGTCCAGTAGCCGAATTCCGCACATGCTATGCGCCCCTGTCAGTACCTGAGAGGTGCGCCGTATTGTCATCGCAAGTACTCACCTCCGGGCAGAAAGACGTCTTTGGACCACTTGGCAAAGCCATCGAGGGCTTTGCCAGTACCGACACCTTCCGGCCCTGGAACGGCAGGTCGATCGCCAATTATGCGGCTACTTTGCACCGGGAAGACGTTCTGTTTACATCATGTTAGATGGTGCTCCATTGTGCTCGAGTATAGACCAAGCAGTAGCGTGGGATGTTACCTCGAGGTAGTCGCACAACTGGTACAGGGGGTTCGGTTTCTTCGTCTTGAAGAACACGGTGTGTTGCCATTTTTGGAGACCGCCGATGAGAGCCTGGCCAAAGTCGTCGTCGTGGGTGAGAGATTCCAGGCCGAATTTCTTCTTCAGCGCATGCTTCTGGTCCTCTGTGCCGTCAGATAGGATGCCGTCGATGTGTCTCATGACCCTTTGCATATCCGTGCTGCAATTTTTGGGCATGGCCTCCTTGATGGGCTGGTTGTACTGCCAAAAGCCGGGAATGGCTTCGACGACGGCGCTTGAGCAGTGATATGCCCAGAATGTGCCCGGGGCCTGGTGGTGCGTCCACGCCGCGAGGGCACCAGAGTACGAGCAGCCGGTCAGCACCCACGGTGCCTTGGTTGGCTTTGATGTCCCTTGGAGGTCGAACGGCAGCTCGACGTTGTGAGCAAAGTAGATGAGGTCTTGGATGGCGTTGTCGAGGTTGAGGTACTGAAGGTTGGTGGTGGTCAGGTTGTCGAAAGGAGAACTCTTGCCCCAGTACCGGTGCTCGAGGACAATGACGGCACCGCCATTGGTTTGAGCAAATCTTCCCGCGAGGGATTCTTTGGTAGCATAGAAGGCGTCGCCCTCGTCTTCAGCGGGCGCGTTCAGTATTATCGGGGAGCCAGGCCCGGCATAGTCATCCGCGTTGTACCAATAGCGTTGGGAGAACCTGCCGAGCTCGGGGTTGCTGTGGTCTATGAGTTGCTGGAAAGTGCCTTCGTGGGTTGGGCGACGGGATCTCTTGGTCAAGTCGTCATCTTTGGGCGGAGGCGGTGGTAGTCCGTTGAGGTGAACTCGGTTGATGCGAGCCGCTGATGGCATAGCAAGCAAGAGGTTTGCTGCCATGCCAATGAAGCTATTTACACGCATTGCTGAAAATATCGCCAATTATTGTGCAATAGATTTCGGGGGGAGACGCGGCTGGAAGGTGGCCAAGGCAAGATGACTTGGGAAAATAGCTTTGGCTCGAGGCGGTAAGAACTGATATCTATATACTTTGCAGTCACCTTGACGGCATCGTCTTGATGGCACCATGTCATCCCAGCCTCTTAGTCGTAGTACTAGTAGTAACTAGTGGCCTGCTATCTTTGCCATGCCATATATTAAAGATGGACCGTCGACTTTCTAATTTCACGCTTGTTTTTGGGGCAACTCGACGGGTAGCAATGTAGTAATAGCCACGACATTGGTCAAGTCACACGCTTACAAGGGAGGCATACAAAAAAACATGCTTGGCGCTTCTCAGGCTCTGCAGTTGCGTGCCTGATCTTCTGCCATCTAGGTTCCATGGCTTCGGCTTCAAGCCGAAGTGCGTGTTGCGAAGCCACCGGAAGATTATGAGCTGCCCGAATAGGAAACTAGGCTGATGCCAGCATCTGTACTTTGGAGGCGGTGCGGCTTACAGTGAGGTCATTGTCGTGGAGAATAGAGTTGGCGTTAAAAAAGGGTTGATTGCAAGTAAAAGGGAGGTTGCTTCTTTGCTATGGCTCCGGGTGCTTCTTAAACTGACCATGTATTGCAATACGTCAAGTCGTCACGCAGGGAAACAATTCATCAACACAGACTCATTAAAAACATAAACAGCCACTGAGATTCTATGTGGTAGAAGATAACATCTTTTGTCCGTAGGAAGTATTGCCGCCTTCAAAGCATCGTGACTTGATGCATAGCAGCTTGTTCCGTATGTACATCCGCAGAAACCTAGCCCCTGGGGTCATTGCAAATGGGACAGTAGGGATCTTTTGCCCTAGAATCTAAACCCATCGCACTAGCTGCACATCTTGTCGTACTGAAATCGGGCGTCTTGCCTACTGTCGCGGGTCTTCGGTGCAAGAAGACGTAGTAGCCGTGGCCGAATCAGGGCAGAAAGAGTGTCACGATCATACGGCGCCAAAAATCTCGACGGAAATGATGCAGAAATACTAGAATCCCCATGGAACTATAATGCAATTTGCTGTTGCCGTTTCTGGCCGACCAACGCACCAGACTCGAGAGGCTCACCACTTACGTGCCCCCAAGCCTCTTCATCACAGAGATTGCCTATTCGATGCCTCCTCGGCAGCATTTAAAACACGGAGACTATGAATAATCGAGTCAGTGATAAACGGCTCAAGCAGTAGGATGAAAATGCAGCGGGCACCCACCTCGCCAACAACATGCTACACCATCAAGATCATCAGCACCGCTTTAAAAACAAGATTATCAAGAGACAATAACGTAGCCTCACGTACCCAGCCGCTGGCGCAAGGCGGTGGAACAGGAATGCAATCATTATTACAATCGGCCAGTTGGGGCACAGCAGAAACGGACACTGTCGCCACAAGAATAAGTCTCACAAGGCTGTTCATATTGAGTTGCGTCCGTTGGTTGTTGCTAGTTGGTCAAATGGTGTTTTCGAGTCGTTCGGCAAGGGCTAGCCCATGACGACAAGATTTGACGGCTGGATCGTGGTCGCCCAAGAGGCTATTTATTCTGTAGCATTCACAGACGTACTGCATTCATCCGGCACCATACCATTGGACATGAGGCTACGTGCAACCATGCCATGCATGACCCGAGACAGTTGTTCGGCAAACACAACACCACCGCATGAGCTGAATACGAACAGAGCCGTTGATTGGGTGGCCGTAACTCAGCTTCCTCGTACACACGGATCATCAGTTGCCGGTGGACGTAACGATTCTGAAAAACGAAGCAAGCCATTCCCGACACAGCCAAACCGCGATGCTGCGTATGGATTTTTCTTGTATCCGGATTACTAATTACCAACAAGATAACCAGGTCGTTTTTCATCGTCCTGCCTAGTGAATAGGAGGACCCCCCATCATTTCCCCGACAAACCCAAAAAGCCATGAACCATTGCCGTGTCTCTTACAGTCCAAGTTCCGAGTACGCATTCAGAGCCAACTGCCCACCCAGGTGAGCATACAGCACATTCCCGGCAGAAATCTCCCCCGACCTAATCAGTCCCATCATGCCCGCCAGGCTCTTGCCCTCATACACGGGGTCGGTAATAAAAGCCTCTGTCCGGGCACCAAACTTGATGGCGTCAATGGTCGCCTCGTCCGGGATGCCGTAGACGCCGGCATTGTAGTCACTGTTCAAGACGACATCCCGCTCCGTGACGTCGTCCTCGGACAGGCCGATTTTGGCAGCGGTGAACTTGGCGATGCGGAGGACCTGGTCGAAAGTCTCGCCGGGCTTCCCCGAGGCGTCGATGCCGATGAGCCTGCGCGGGCGGGAGCCCTGCTTCTGGGCGAGCTTGAAGCCCGCAATCATGCCGGCAAAGGTCGAGCCCGTGACGGCGCAGACAAGGACGGTGTCGAAGAAGACGCCCATCTGCCTCTCCTGGGCCTCGACCTCGAAGGCCCAGCGGGCGAAGCCGAGGCCGCCGAGCGGGTGGTCGGATGCGCCCGCGGGGATGTAGTAGGGCCTGCCGCCGCTGGACTCAAT